TTCACATGCACACACACATATATATATATATATATATATATATATATATATATATATATAAACATACACACCCTACACATATATATATATATATATATATATATATATATATATATATATATATATATATATATATATATATATATTGTGTATATAATATTTTATAGGCATATATTCTTAGGCATAAATGCGTATAAATTTGCGCAAAAAAATGAAGTTCAGGAATTATTTTATTCACTTTTCATATACTTTGACTATTACTCTCAGATTGTTTCCTATTTTCAATTAAGCAGGGTCTGAAGGAAGTGGTTATTTTAGCACAATGCGAAATTCATTCCCATTGGCATCGCAATGGTTTCCTTAAAAAAAAAATAACGTGCGACATTAATATACTACTGGCCTTCAAGATCCATTGAATTTGCCTTTTTCTGCATTATATCTGTCATTTGTTCTCTTTTTTTATTGTTCGAATTGCTTTGAAAATGTTATCGGGACATAAGTGTGTTTAATGAAAATTATTCGGCTTTTTTTCGGAAGGAATTCCGTTCCTTTGAAAACGAATGAAAAGTAGAATCAATGGCATATGGTAGGGGAATTCAGGGTTAATGTTCTGGCACAAAAAAAAGGCAGCGCTGTGTGTGTTCAGTAATAAAACCGGTTGCATTATTTACCTTTTTTAAGATTAAAGGCTAAGAGTTTCATTGAATGAACAAAAAATAAATAGATAAAACTGGAAAGGAAATAAATAAAAGTGTGGAAAATGAAAAATAAATACTACAGGAAAAAAAAAATTGAATAGGAACCGAAATATTATTTGATTGAAATAAAGTCGGATTTATAGATATTCATCGATAAATAATAACCCTGCTTAAAATGTTTCAAAGAAGTTTTCTATATAAGATTTTATACAAAAGGAAGCTAAAAATGATGAGCCCTACATAAAATAAAATATTAATTCATCTGCATCACAGATTTTTTTCGTGCAATATTAAGTTATATTAGAAATGCATACAATCAATATATCTTAAAGTAATACCTATTAGGGCATTGAAACGTATCCTCAATTATGTACATTGATACACACACACACACACACATATATATATATATATATATATTATATATATATATATATATATATATATATATATATATATATATATATATATATATATATATATATATATATATATATATATATATATATATATATATAATTGAATATCGATATGTGTGTGTGTGCGTGTGTGCTGGTAATTGTGTGTGTGTCTGTGTAGACGAATGGCTAAATATAGGTGGATTTACCAGCGAGTGATTGTATACAACTATATATAAATACTGTATAATGTAAGAAAAAAGAGTGCTTAATGTTAAACGACAGACATATTTATTATATATTAAGTAATATACAAAATACCTTAAACTGATTGCACAAATTTGAGTTTCATGTCGAAGTAATTAATAAAAGCCGTTATATTTATTTGTATTTTAATAAAATTAACAAGTGCAGATATATTTAATTTTATTTTCATTTTAATAATATTAAAATAAATATTCCGGTACTTGCTAAGTGCTTCGGTATGAAACTGAGAGTTGTGCAATCAATGTAAAATATTTTGTATATTCCTTAATATACATATACATGCATATATATATATATATACATATATATATATATATATATATATTGGCTCCTGAAAAATTAATTTCAGTTGAGCTCTCTGGGGAGGAGATGTGGGTTGGTAAACAGTGACTATTATAGCTATATAGCGAGACTCTTCGCTATTGCGAATTGAGTCACTCTCGGTCACTGGGCGTGTTTATAAAGATAAACAGGCTAAAAATCAACTTTCCTCTCTACCCTGCGCCGATGGCTTAATGGTTAGAATCTCCGACTGACACCAGTTCAGTCGGGTTTTGACCCTAGCTGGAGGCAACCGGGTGTCTAGCCACACTGATGAGCTGTGAAACAGCGAAACAGTCTGTCTGTGGATGACGGTGTATATATATATATACACACATTTTTCATTAAAAACGACAGACAAGGTACTACGGTTAGACTTTTATTTAATTTTTCTTGTGTTCGAACAAGAGCTTTCTTTTCTGGACAAGAGGGTGTGTAAGAACTGTTCAAATGTTTATATTTCCGAGCGCTTTCGGCTATGCATTTAGACATTATCAAGGATGATTCGATTTTCCAGCTTAATTGAGTGTATACGTTATGTGTATGTCTTAATGTGTGGTAGGGATGTTTTTAATTTCCGAATACGGTTAGCATATTGTGGCTTTATTCGTAGTTAATATTGTTAAAGGTTGGCTTTTTCTGTTTTTATTATTAAAGCTTCCATTATTTTTAATATTTTTTGGCAGGTCGATGCAGTTAATATATTTGTATTTTCTACTGGTATGTTCCTAATGGAGTCTGTTAAATTTGTGTGTGTGTTTAAATGGGTTCTAATGGAGCTGTGATCAGATAGGTGTAACGTAAGACGTCTGGATAAGAATGTAGTTGTGTCACCGATGTAATTATATATATATATATATATATATATATATATATATATACGATAAATCGATGCTATTGTATTTAAAAGAGAATCTCTCCTTGTTTTGTTTTTTTGTCACCGTTTCGCTATGTAGTTACATCAATATATTAAGTGAAAAATAAATCACTCGAAATATTTTTTTATTATTTTTTCTCTTTATCCATGACTTTAACTCGCAGGTTTACGGATACGTGTAACCCGGATATAAGAGACCCGGATATAAGAGAAACCCGGATATAAGAGAGATTTTCTCTGGTCCCAAATTAGAGCCTGCGTTAATGTATATAAAATAGACCAAACCCGGATATAAGAGAAACCCGGATATAAGAGACTTAGTCTCCGGTCCCGACAACTCTCTTATATCCGGGTTACACTGTATATCACGTCAAAACAGCGGTACTTGTGCGATCACCGAAGTTAAGCAAGGTACAACATGGTCAGTTTTTAGATGGCTGACTGCACGGGAATATTAGGTGCTGTGTGTGCGGAAAGAGTAAGAGATAACTGCTTGGAATTGGAAATCGAAAACCTAATTAAAATTACAGACGTCTCGTTATATTCAATTACGCGGAAATGCCAAGGTAAAACATATTAATCCACCTATTCTCCACCAGCTGACGTTTAATTAGCAAAACTTTAACGGTAAACCATTATTATCTTCATAAAAAAATCTTATGATATACAAATATTTTCTGGCTTTAAATAAACTGCAAATTATTGATAAACTGTCAATAACAAATCAGTCAATTAACATTAACATTTTCTTTCTCGTAGGCCTGCATTTATGAAGAAATGTACAAAAGACACACGGAGAAAAATGTGTATATGATAGTAAACTCTGAGAACAACCCTTTTCATTATTCCACGAATTATTTAGACTATTACCTTAAATAATGTTGTTTTTTATTTCAGCATTCAAGATTCATTTATTCATTGAACTTTCTGTTGTACTTGAGTTTTTGTTCTGATTTTTTTTTAACAAGTACATCACATCTTAAATTTTAGCGATTATGACTTTCCATATATTTGAGCTTCAATAGCGATCCAGTTCTGTGATTAAAATATACATCGATTTGATTCATGTCTGAAATTTGAAATGCATCTTTTTCACGGTTTCACAAAGTAGTGTTAATTTATGAAGATTTTATTAATGGATTTTGGACAATGACTTTAGTTTCTTTCAAGTATATAATTCCTCTGTATGTCTTATCTCTTATGAATCCGAGTATCATATTTTAATGTCATATGCTAGATAAAAGCATAGAGGCCTTCAATATTTGGAGAGAAAAAAACATTAAATTAAAATTATTTAAATTATAGTATATAACTCACAGTTACATCTCATCATTTAAAATGTAAAAGGATGAGATCTAGTCACGAATCTAGTACGACATTAAATTCGTAAAAGTGAAATACACATGGAAACTATGTTATAATGGTGGGAAAGTGAGATGTCAAATCGTGATCGATAACAGTGTAAACTCTCTTTGGACTAATTAGAAGTGCTGTGATCAATTTGAAAAAAATACAAAGTAATGAATTTTAATAGTCAATATCCTGATCAAATTAATAATGCGCATATATATATATATATATATATATATATATATATATATATATATGTGTGTGTGTGTGTGTGTGTGTGTGTATTTGTGTATTTAGGCAGCATTTTTTCATTAATACATGTTCCATTAAATAATATAGGCAAGTGTTGTGTATTTATTTTATGTAAATTCTTTTCATATCGTCTAAGCTTAATAACATTATCATTAAACGGAGAAAGAAAATCACAATAGTGATACATATAATTTGAAGATCTTCCAATGAACTTGGTTCAAACTTTCTGTATTCTCAGGCAATTTTTTTGGGGGGAAGGGGGGCTCGAATCGCCTGAGGATATCGAAATATTGTGCCCAAATGTAACTTGATTCAATGATCTCCTATTTTCCTTTAAATTTAAAAGCTCTGCTTTTCATTTTTTTTTTTTTTTTACGCGTAATGAGCACTTTTTCATACAACTGTTTCCTGCTCTAATTCAAATCTGACTAATAACATACACACATACATACATACATACATACACACACACACACACACACATATATATATATATATATATATATATATAGAATGGACAAAGTCCGAAAATTATTTTAAAATGTCTTAATATATATATATATATATATATATATATATACACACGTATATATGTGTATATATATGTGTGTGTGTATATATACATACATACATATATATATATATATATATATATATATACACACACACATACGATTTGATATAGATAGATAGATAGATAGATAGATAGATAGATAGATAGATAAGCATTCATTTTTACTGTATTTATGAGTAGAACTATTTAGTATTCTAATACCGGCTATGCAGCATTTATAGATAGAGACTGCAAAGCAGTGGGGTGAAACTGTGTTACAATTTATGCCTAGTATCTATCTATCTATCTATCTATCTATCTATCTATCTATCTATCTATCTATCTATCTATCTCTCGCAGTATCGTTCCTACAGCCACTTGAAGTATTCCATATATATGTTTGCCATCACTTGTGAAAACATCGAACACAGACAACAAGCCTGTCTCCGAGTTCTCCATTTAGAATTCTACCTGGGACAACGGATTTGTTCATTTCAGCATTGTTTCGTGTGTTTGGTGACATGGGAATTGCTAGTTTAGTCTTTGGGTCGATCAGTGTGTACTGAACGCAGTGCAGTTCGTGGTGGGAATTAACTGAGCAGTACTAAAGGAGTTCCTCGCGAAATAATCCTGAACATTGACAGCGGAATGTGAGAAATCCAGCCCCGTTGTTTAAATATAGTGTTCAGTTTGAAATTCCCTGACGGTGAAACGTATAAAAAATCGCCTGATGAAAGCCGGGCTAATAACGATTAAAATGTATTGAAAACAACAACTATTTCAGACAGAGATAATGTGAAATGTTCGCATAACATACACCATAAATTCCCTATGTATAACACGTATTTTTTTTTTATAAAATATAATAAGCAAAATCAGGGGTTGCGTATTATGCACAGCTACAAAAAAACTGTAAAAACTTGACGTAAAATAAAATATGAATTATCATAAAAATCAATTAGAATATTATTATTCTATGTTTAAAACCATTTTTTTAAAACAAAAGTAGGAAAAGCTGACCGTAATTAAGCTGGAGATGTACAATTTATAGCGTTTGATGACCAAACAAGGGTTGATAATTATGCATGAGTAGAATTTTTTTCCCAAATCCTCGGCACAATTTTAGGTGTGCGTATTACGGATGGAATTATACATGGGGAATTACGTTAATTCTATTTATTACTTTTATGGCCTGGCATTTACTTTAGAGTTGTCATCTTCCAGAAATAAACTTTGTCCACTCTGTTTTCTGAAATACAATCATCGTTTGTTTCATATAGATACATGAATAAGTGATTAAATAGAAATACCCGGATTGATGATCGGTGAAGGCATGAAGTTTCCATTCAATATGTAGAGTTGATTTCCGGGTCAACACTCTGTATACTAAAGGATGCTAATACTACAAATGCTTTATATTCAATACTGCGATTTCTACACCCATAATTGTTGCCAAATTTACATCTATCTATCTATCTATCTATCTATCTATCTATCTATCTATCTATCTATCTATCTATCTATGTTCATATCTATTATGCTTAATGACACAGAAAAGAATAATCGATCATTATTTTCCGAACAATATAACATCTATCTATCTATCTATCTATCTATCTATCTATCTATCTATCTATCTATCTATGTTCATATTTATTATGCATAATGACACAGAAAAGAATAATCGATCATTATTTTCCGAACAACATAACATCTATCTATCTATCTATCTATCTATCTATCTATCTATCTATCTATCTATCTATCTATCTATCTATGTTCATATCTATTATGCTTAATGACACAGAAAAGAATAATCGATCATTATTTTCCGAACAATATAACATCTATCATCTATCTATCTATCTATCTATCTATCTATCTATCTATCTATGTTCATATTTATTATGCTATCTAATCGATCATTATTTTCTAACAACATAACATCTATCTATCTATCTATCTATCTATCTATCTATCTATCTATGTTCATATCTATTATGCTTAATGACACAGAAAAGAATAATCGATCATTATTTTCCGAACAATAAACATCTATATCTATCTATCTATCTATCTATCTATCTATCTATCTATCTATCTATTTATTATGCTATCACAGAAAAGAATAATCGATCATTATTTTCCGAACAACATATCTCTATCTATCTATCTATCTATCTATCTATCTATCTATCTATCTATCTATCTATCTATGTTCATATCTATTATGTAATGACACAGAAAAGAATAATCGATCATTATTTTCCGAACAATATAACATCTATCTATCTATCTATCTATCTATCTATCTATCTATCTATCTATCTATATATCTATCTATCTATGTTCATATTTATTATGCTTAATGACACAGAAAAGAATAATCGATCATTATTTTCCGAACAACATAACATCTATCTATCTATCTATCTATCTATCTATCTATCTATCTATCTATCTATCTATCTATGTTCATATTTATTATGCTTAATGACACAGAAAAGAATAATCGATCATTATTTTCCGAACAATCTATCTATCTATCTATCTATCTATCTATCTATCTATCTATCTATCTATCTATCTATGTTCATATCTATTATGCTTAATGACACAGAAAAGAATAATCGATCATTATTTTCGAACAACATAACATCTATCTATTTCTATCTATCTATCTATCTATATATCTATCTATCTATGTTCATATTTATTATGAAAAGAAATAATCGATCATTATTTTCCGAACAACATAACATCTATCTATCTATCTATCTATCTATCTATCTATCTATCTATCTATCTATCTATCTATCTATGTTCATATCTATTATGCTTAATGACACAGAAAAGAATAATCGATCATTATTTTCCGAACAATATAACATCTATCTATCTATCTATCTATCTATCTATCTATCTATCTATGTTCATATCTATTATGCTTAATGACACAGAAAAGAATAATCGATCATTATTTTCTATAACATCTATCTATCTTCTATATCTATCTATCTATCTATCTATCTATCTATATATCTATCTATCTATGTTCATATTTATTATGCTTAATGACACAGAAAAGAATAATCGATCATTATTTTCCGAACAACATAACATCTATCTATCTATCTATCTATTTATCTATCTATCTATCTATCTATGTTCATATTTATTATGCTTAATGACACAGAAAAGAATAATCGATCATTATTTTCCGAACAACATAACATCTATCTATCTATCTATCTATCTATCTATCTATCTATCTATCTATGTTCATATCTATTATGCTTAATGACACAGAAAAGAATAATCGATCATTATTTTCCGAACAACATAACATCTATCTATCTATCTATCTATCTATCTATCTATCTATCTATCTATCTATCTATCTATCTATCTATCTTCATATTTATTATGTGGAAAATGATAACAGAAAAAGAATAATCGATCATTATTTTCCGAACAACATAACATCTATCTATCTATCTATCTATCTATCTATCTATCTATCTATCTATCTATCTATCTATGTATGTTCATATCTATTATGCAATGACACAGAAAAGAATAATCGATCATTATTTTCCGAACAATATAACATCTATCTATCTATCTATCTATCTATCTATCTATCTATCTATCTATGTTCATATCTATTATGTTAATGACACAGAAAAAGAATAATCGATCATTATTTTCCGAACAACATAACATCTATCTATCTATCTATCTATCTATCTATCTATCTATCTATCTATCTATGTTCATATCTATTATGCTTAATGACACAGAAAAGAATAATCGATCATTATTTTCCGAACAATATAACATCTATCTATCTATCTATCTATCTATCTATCTATCTATCTATCTATCTATCTATCTATGTTCATATCTATTATGCTTAATGACACAGAAAAGAATAATCGATCATTATTTTCCGAACAATATAACATCTATCTATCTATCTATCTATCTATCTATCTATCTATCTATCTATGTTCATATTTATTATGCTTAATGACACAGAAAAGAATAATCGATCATTATTTTCCGAACAACATAACATCTATCTATCTATCTATCTATCTATCTATCTATCTATCTATCTATCTATCTATGATATCAAAGAAATGCATATTACTGATGCAACATCAGCAGTAGTGTCTCCAGAAAAATCATCAGAGAATGACCCTGGTATTAAACATGACATCCGGCCACAAAGCCTTGCGATTGCAGTAGACATTTTAGAAAATCTTCATGATATGAGTAAGCAAGCTAGAAAGTATTTCTCAGCTGCAAGAATCAAACATTACCGTGAAATTAACAAGCGATAAGAAAAATGCCTTAAAAAGATTTATCTTTAAAACAACCGTGAAGAATCCATTGTGGCACAGTGTGCCACACAAATATTCAAATATCTGAATAAATATGCAACTTTTGTCAGGGCGTGACAAAAATACCTCCTACATCTATCTCCCAGAAATGCCTCCCATATAATGGTACGACATTAGCTCGACGAAGACACCAATGCCACTAATATCTTACCAATATGTGGAAGGCGTTACTTGGAGGAATATATATAGGATGTAATTCTGCCGCACCCTTTATTTCCGATATGCTGATCATTGGTAGATAGACAATCATACCTGTTGATTAGCTTTGTTATAAATTTAATTTCTGATATGAGTGCATATATAAAAACGTTATTTGAAGGAAACGGTAGAAACTATGTTGAAATCCCTCATATTCGTTTCCAATGAGAGCAAGCAATGAACTTGATGCACTTAATTTCCGTTATGTTATTTGAGATACATATAAAGACCCAGTAGTATTTTTATATATTTTATATATATATATATATATATATATATATATATATATATAAACTTCTTTTTTAAATAACTGTTGTCTCTCAAGCTTTTTCACGAAAAAATGTATTCTGAAAAATCTGAAATCAAGCCATGACGGATATAATCGAATGAGTTAACTTGGGCTAGATATCTTACCGGTATAGCAAAAATTGCCCGTGGTTTAATGTTGAATATGTACTCTATAACACAAACATAACAATAAAAAGAAAAATGGAATTTGTTAGGGTTTACACGAGATTCAATTAGGTTTTAATCTTGATTCAAAAAGCTGAATATTGGTCGCCTGATTTTCAAGAGCCTTCGAGCATCAAGGTAGGCAATGGACATTTTTTTGTGGGTGTTATACTTCTGCCGTGTTTTCCAAGAGTCGATCATAAGGCAAGCATATATAAACAAATTATAAATGCTTTCATTGGAAACTAAGAACGAACTCGCTCCTTAAATTATCCGATAGAGAATAATAAATCGTTCAACACAGGGAAAGAAAAGAAAAATCTGGCGATATGATGCATTTGATGTAAATATTTTTAATATAGGAAAACGTTCACTTTTGTGTTTCTTCGACCTATAGTATACAAAATTATGTAAATGGAAATATTATTTAAGTGAATGGGGATATAATTTAGGGATATTTTGGGAGGTTCATTTTTGATGAATCTATTAACTCAGATCAGTGTGGAAAAAAGTATGCGTATATAAATTGTAAAGGGGTGATTTGGCCAAAATTCCTATCGAGTATAGTAATTCTGTAAAACAATGTATTCAAAACAAGCAGTACTTACAAATACACAACTTGATCACAAGAGGTAGATTCATGATGTTTAAAATAACAGTGGAATACAAAGAAAAATAAATTTATGTAAGTATGAAACAAATGTTCTAAATTAATTAACACATTAAATTTAGTTTATATATATATATATATATATATATATATATATATATAGTTGTATATTTAGGCAGCAATACTCCCTTTATGCATGTTTCATTAAAAACGACAGACATGGTACTACGGTTAAGCTTCTTATTTAATTTTACTTGTGTTCTGACAAGGGCTTTCTTTTCTGGACAAAGGCTGTGTAAGAACTTTCCAAATGTTTCCGAGCGCTTTCAGGTATAACTTTAGCCATTATCAAGGATGATTCGATTTTCAGCATAACTGAGTGTGTGCGTTCTGTGTATGTATCAGTGTGTGGTAGGGATGTTTTAATTTCCGAATACGGTTAGCGCATATATATATATATATATATATATATATATATATATATATATATATATATATATATATATGTATGTATGTATGTGTGTGTATGCTAGTGTCTGTGTTTCAGTTCCTAGGAACTGTGTTGCTGAACCTCCTACGTCGAATACGACGGAAGAGTCCACCATATATATATATATATATATATATATATATATATATATATATATATATATAAAGAAAGATCAGTAAGATATATAATCCTTAATTTTTTTTTAAAATGAATTCTCAACCTAAACTTCTTTTAAATTGTAATTAAATGAATAAATAAAGTTTACTAAATAAGAGAAATGAATTAGCTATTTCTGCCGTAAGTGCAAAAAAATTTACTTAAATAATATTTAAATATAAAATTTTTAAAAATCGTAATATACATATACTTGATATGAAAAAATAATCTTACTTACTATAAGTAATTCTAATGCATTTACTTCTATTAAATGAAATATAGTCTATAAAAACGAACAATGAAATAATTTTAAAGTTGTAATTGAAATAGTAGTTAATTAAAATGAATTCTAATCTAAACTTCTTTTAAAATACATATTCATGGAGTCTGGGAACCAGTGAAAGCAGCCCATCGGAGCAATTACCATGAAAGTAATATATATATATATATATATATATATATATATATATGCGTGTATGTACGTATGTATATATGTATGTATGTATGTATGTATGTATGTATGTGTTTTCCTTCAGGTGTATTAACGTAATGAAGTTTTTACACTATCAATATTTTCAAAAATATTTTAAACGATTATTCCAATTCAAAATAGACTTGAAGAGACTTTTAAGCTACGTATTTAATGAGTCACATTCCGATATATTGCCTTGTTTCTTTATTCTAAAACTTTCCTGATGCCAATAATTAAAGTAATACATTGAAATCAACATTTCTATTCTATGCTAGGTTTTAGGCAGTAGTTTACATGTGGGTTTCATTAATTAATATTGGAATGTATATATTTCTTTTTATGAGTGACAGATTATTAGATGTTTTGTTGCAATGATTACTGTTTTGAATAATATATACAAGAAAGCGAATTTCATGAAAGAAAATCGATTTATTGTTCAGTAATCAATATCTTCCAAAAAGGGCTGAAAGTTAAATATAGCATTTCTCTTTTTCTTCCAATTAGACATGATCATTGTTTTAAGATTAATCAAGGGTGGGGCTAAGAAAAATAAATCCGCAGTTTTTTTTCAATTCCTTGTAAACAAACAGCAAATACAAAAAGAAGTGAAGAAACATTTATTTGTGTTTTCACATACGCTTGGGTGGCTCACACACTTAACACTTTCACTACGTCTCATATAAACCTACAGACACATACAAATTCAAATAAAACTCATATATAGTATGGGGACTTTTTCATGCAACTCAAGTTTTTCGCAATAAAATTAGTATTGGACAAACATATTTGCTAATATTTTCATCATATCGACATTGGATATGAGACTTGACTTACTGTTATCGACACAGTATGTGAAGTCGATAAGCAGAGTTTTAATCCCGATTGAGACTGGTCCGTTCACCTCACGTTAATGTTTTCAGAAAAAGCATGAATTCGTCTTCTTCCAGAAAAAAGGCTGTAACATTCGTTAGGCGTGCGTGTTTTTATTGATAAAAATGTATTCTTAGAAAGTGTTAATAATGAATCGTTTTTTTTTAGTTTCTGAATATATTGTACCTACCGAGTTAATTCGTTTATTTATACATACAACCAAACAACCAATTAAATATATAGGGTCTTTAAAAGAACTTATATAATTTAACATGTAACTTTCACAGTAAGGTGAGAAATTCAAAGTTATATATTTTGAATGATCTCAAAACTTCCCATAAGTTTTCTATATGCTCAACGTCTGTGACACGACACTCTACAAGTTGTTAGTCCAGTATTTGCCAAACACGCTGCAAAATGTCTTGTGTAACAGTCTCCAGTGCAGCAGTGATTCTCTGCTTGAATTCCTCTAGACTTCTAGCAAACATGGGGGACATAGACCAGTCCCTTCAAACTTATCATAGAATTGCTTGTGCTGTTGCATGCCACCTTCCGTTAAGGGGTGAACGAGCTGAGGCTTGTAGGGCATAATTCGCAAGTGTTTCAACTGTGACAGGCCAAACAATTGATAGATTAACCTGAGTATTAAGATTGCTTTATTTATAGATTCTTGAACTCGTTCGACAATGTTTTCGGATACTGGTGGATGTCCAGATCCTTTTGACCTGCACCGACAGCCTTTCTTTTAGAATATGTTGTGCCATGTCCAAATCAGAATTTCCCCCTTGTCTGAGAATGTTTCGTCTTAATTTGAAAAAGTCGATCAATAAAAGCAATATACCCAAACCTCTGTTGTTTTAATAATGCAATAATAATATATATATATATATATATATATATATATATATATATATATATATATATATATATTTTTTTTTTTTACATAGGTCAGCAATCTCTTTAATACTAATTTTCATTAAATACGACTGGAAAGATACTGCAGTTAAGTTTTTATTTAAGTTTTTCGTATGTTTTTACAATTTTCTTCTTTCCTCATCATAGACATAGAATATTTATATAGAAATTGCCAGAATGCTTTCGGCTATACTTTTAGCGATTATCAAGGATGATTTTGACTGTATGTGTTGATGTATCAAGAGGTTTAGAATTGTTTTATTTTACAAACGCCGTCAACACTATACAAATTCTACATAATTTATGTTCAAAAGAGAAGACGATTATAAGGGTACAAGAAATTAAAATAAAATGAAATAAAAACTTAACCACAGTATCTCATCCGTTGTATTTAATGAAACTTATATATATATATATATATATATATATATATATATATATATATATATATATATATATAAGAAGAAAGAGAGGTGCCGCTAACGTTTTTGGTTGTAATATGGATTTATTTAGAAAAAATATTATGCTTTGTTTTACATAATTTTACGACACGTGTTTCTGGTCTCGCGACCGTCTTCAGGTAAAAAGTGGAGATTTCTACATATTATTAAAATAATTAATTTTTCTTCATGTTCAATGTGAAATATTCTCGATATGAGACATTCTCTGTTTGTGTGTTGGTAATCCGAATTTGACGGTCGCGAGACCAGAAACACGTGTCGTAAAATTAAGTAAAACAAAGCATAATATTTTTTCTAAATAAATCCACATTACAACCAAAAACGTTACCGGCACCTCTCTTCTTTTTTAATATACATACTTTTCTCTCGTTGGAACCACTACAACATATTTCTTTTTATATATATATATATATATATATATATATATATATATATATATATATATATATATATAGATAGAGAGAGAGAGAGAGAGAGAGAGAGAGAGAGAGTATTGTGGAAGAAGATCGTTATTCAAAATGTATTAAATGTAACAGGCAGCGAATGTCTATTATGTTTGACCATGAACCGTTGTAAACTTCTTATAGTGGCTTTAGTTTCGTAAGAAATTAAAGATATTTCATACCAATCACAACATATTACAATGCATTTAAACATGGTTCTGTTGATAATATTTTCTTTTCTCACGTAGGCATGTAAGAGGTCAGCACACCCCATTACGAATTTCCGACCAGCGTCTGCTATTCGAATATCGTTATCATCGCATAGCACACTTATGTAAACATAGCAGGATGTTATCTTTGATGGTGAACATCTCCGTTGTAATGTCCATATAAACACTCGGATGCTGGCTCATGTCTTCCGAAATCTTAGATCGAGGAAGAGCCTAATAAAAAATATCCAAATGCTGGACAATTTTCTCCTGAAATTATGCTTTTCTTTTATCTAATCTTTCGGCTGGCATAACGGCCGTGGAATAGAAAACGAAGGACGTGAATTCACGATGCGGTTCTATGACCTTATACCACGCGAGGAAACGAAATAATAATAACAGAATCATATGTCTAGATACAATATAATGCGTTGTGACTATTCCACGTCGCTTATGGTAGCATAGCAAACTTCTATGTTAATATAAGACAGTATCATATTTAAACATAAGAGGATGTTATCTTTGACGGTGAACATCTCCGTCGTAATGTCCATATAACCACAGTGAAGATGGCTCATGTGGAGTCGAAAGAGTAGACCGAAGAAGAGTATAATAAAAATATCCAAATATTGCACAATTTTTGTCTTTATACGACGCTTAGAACGTCTCATGATCAAACATAACATGTCTGCTATCTTTAACAATATAAATATAAATATATATATATATATATATATATATATATATATATATATATATATATACAGTATTAGATAAAGAAAAAAACGTTGGTTTCCTGTGGCAAATATACTGTGATAATGTCATATCGAGGGAATCTTGTTGAAGAAAAAATAACTGTATATATTGATGAAACTATAAAATATCTATGTCACAACTTAATACTTAAATGTTCCCAAACCGAATTAATGTAGTTAAATAATGATGTTTTGATATATATATATATATATATATATATATATATATATATATATATATATATATATATATATATATATATATATATATATGTATATATATATTAATATTGAAAACGCATTATATATATATATATATACATACAAGGATTAATATTGAGAACGCATTATATATATATATATATATATATATATATATATATATGAATGTGTGCATGCGAAATCTCTTAAAAATATTGTACATATCTATATAGATATTGCTAGATCGTATCAATCTATCCTCATATATTCGCAGAAATATTAAGATGTTATCTAAAATGAATTTCGTAATATTAGGTATTCGTCAATTCCAATTTCATCAGATGTAAGCTCCAAAATCAGATCTAAGCTCCAATATGAAGACTAATTTAACTCTGTCCTCCAACAGTCTAGGGTTAGCTAAACTGACTTTGAATTTAGATATATTTTGTAAGATGAATTCGTGACATTTGAATTCAAATTTACACACACAGTATTAAGAGATGCGTATATCTACACTTCGATAGTTTCTTATCTGGGATTATAAATCCGTATATACAAACAAAACCCACCACGATATCTCTCTCTCTCTCTCTCTCTCTCTCTCTCTCTCTCTCTCTCTTACGCTATCTTTAA